CGGGAGGGCGGGAGGCCGAAGCAGAGCGCACCGGGAAGCCCTCTGGCCTCGGGCCGCGGGCTCCGCACGGGGATCGGGGTTTGGGAGCCGAGTTCCTTGCTGCTGCTCGCGGCCCAAACCGCCCGCCGCCCGCTCCGCGCCCTCGCGGAACTGCTCCGCCCTGCCCCGCAGCCTCCCGCCCCGCGGCGTCCTCGGCACGGCGCGGCCCAGGCCAGCCGACGCCGGAAAGCCGTCGCGGACTGTCACAGCAGCGGCCCGTGTCGGCCTCAAGGGCTGCGGGCCCGCTTCCCAATGACGGAAGCCGCTTTTCCAGGCCCCCCACGCTCCGATGACGGTGCTAACGATGGTCCCTCCTCTCAACACCCTGTGAACCTGCAGCCCTCTGGGTCAGCGCTTCCCCAAGCTGGGCGCTGCTAACGCGAGCACCAAGGGGATTTCCTACAGAAAGGTGAGCGGCCTGAGCAGCGGAGCCAGGCGCCAGAGGGGACTTGGTTCTAGCACAGGCTACTTCGCCCACGTAATAGGCGTTGGTGTTCCCCTTATCAGGCAGGTGGGGCACACCTACAATCCCAGCCCCCAGGAGGCCGAGGCAGGAGGATCACTGTGAGTTCAAGGTCCGCCTGAACTACACAGGATCACTGTGAGTTCAAGGTCCGCCTGTCTCAAAAACAAACAAAAAAAGAGCCAATCCTTTGGACAAGGTGAGCATCCCTAACCTGAAACCCAAAATACTCAAAGTCTAAAACTTTTGCGTACGCACATGTGTACCCACAGAAGTGTGTCAGGATCTTGGGGATCAGGGGTGCCCAACCCTAGTCTGCAAATATTCCAAACTCTGAAACACTTCTAGGCCCACACGGTTCAGGTGAGGGATCCCAGCCCGCACAAAAGTAAGAAATTGTAAAGGGACGGTGCAGGGGAAGGGCTGCTCAGACAGCTCGGCGGCAGCGGGCTTTGGCAGAGACCAGACTCGGCTGAGCCCTGTGGGGGAGGGGTGCTGGGCCTGGTGTCTGCTGACACGATGGCTTTCTCAAAGGCAGGGTCTCCAGCCAGGATGAGGCCGCGTTTTCCCTCTCAGTTCTCCAGAACCGGGCCGGAGCCTGCCCTCACCCCTGCTGCGGGGCGGGCCGAGCGTGCGGCTGGACACGGGCACAGCTGGCGCAGCAGAAGCTCGCGTAGTACTCGTTGCTGCAGAGCTGGGCCTGCAGGATCAGGTCGCAGTTGGCCAGCTCCGGCTGGTCGACGCAGTCCCCGCTGGGCGCCTGGGGCTGGGCAGCCGCTGCTGCAGAACAGGGAGGAGACAGGTGAGGCCGCGTGTGGGACAGCCTCCCGGGCCGCCTTGCAGCGGTGAGGAGGCTTGGGGCTCCCGCGGCTCGCTGGCCTTGCCCCCGCACGCAGCGGCCTCGCGGACCCCAGCTCTCCCCACTGGGTGACTGAACGTTTCTCTCTCGTGGCCCCTGCGCTCGCGCTGGAGCGCTGAAGAGCGGGCAGGGTCGGCCTAAGAAAAACGGGAGTCTGGGAGCCTGTGTCCACTCCTCCCGCTCACCGCCCGCTCCTCCAGCGCCGAGTCTGTGCCTTCTGTGCCCTGAGCTGGGGCGGGTGGGAGTCCAGGTCCGAGAGCACCTGCCTAGCGTCTAGCAAGGGTAAGGCCTGGGCGCCATCCCCAGCAGCACACGTGTGTGTGATTTTTGTAGTTTATATGCGGTGTGTACAAATTATGTCTTAGCTAGTAGCACATATGTAAGAATGCATTTTTAAATTTAGTGCTGGTGCACTGAGAACAAGCCCTTGTTGCGCCCCCTCTACCTGCAGGAGCTTCCGCCTCCCTGCGGGAGCGGCCCCCGCGGCTCCATCCTAGGACTGGGCTGCCTGCCCAGGTTCTTCTCTTCCTTCTGCCGCAGCTCTTGCCGGCTGAGGCCTGCACCTCGTCTTCCCCAAAGCCAGGCCCCACAGCGGGGGAAAGCCCTCCGCCCTCCCCCTTGTTCCCCACACGTTACCGTGACAAGACTAAGCCTACCTTAAGAAAGGTCTGCCATAGCGGCATAGCCAGGACTAACGCCATTCACGTAAACGGCAAAGCCATCGTGTTGAAAACCTGTAACTTTGGTATCAGCTTTATCGGCTTCTTGCAGCACCCGAACCAGTAGAGGTAGGCACCCAGCATGGTGATCAATACTCCTGTCACCTACTACCCTGTTCCCCCAAAAATAAGACCTGGCCAGAAAACAGCCTTGAACTGGAGCTGCAGTGCCAGCCCCGGTCAGCCTGTCCGTTCTGCGCCTGCCATCACCATTCTCCCCTTCAGCGGCGCTCTGTATGGCAGGAGCTTGCTCTTCCCCTCACAGGGAGCGCCTTCTCACCCGGAGAGCGAGTGGCGGCCTGTCCCTCACCCCTGCAGGCTTTTCTGCTCCTTACTTCACTCTGTTTTTATTTTGAGATAGGGTCTCACTGTGTAGCCCAGGCTGGCATGGAGCTCACAGTGATCCTCCTGCCTCAGCCTCCCACGTTCTGGGATTATAAGTATGTGTCACCACGCCCAGCTTCTCACTCCACTCTTAAGCAAAATGACCAAGAATCCTGGAAGTAGAACCACAGCCCTCACCAGCGCGTGACCAGCCCAAGGCCCACACCCTGAGGCCAGCGTTGTAATTACAGGGGCCCAGGAGCCCTCAATCAGACAGCCTCATTGTGTGTGAGCCTGAGAAAGAAAGGCTGAGAGCAGACACCTGCAGCCTGATCAGGGATGGATGCAGATACAGGAAACGACCCAAACTACCTAGCACCAGCACCGTTCACCCACCAGAGGCAGGTGAAGGACTGAGGCCATGTCCTGTCTAGGACTCAGCTGTCATCAGATCCCTCTGGCCTGGCAGACCATGCACGGACAGGAGCCCCGCCAAACCGGCACCCAGCAAGTTTGTGATGACAATCTGACTTTCTAGGCAGACAGAGCTACCGCTAATTACAAACCGGAGCATCCGGGTCCTCAAGGGCGGTTAGTGTGTGCACAGAGAGATTATCGACGCAACAGTGGTGAAATGGTCCCTGCAACGTGGCGCTTTCCCTGGGGCAGGGCCATCGCTTTGCACGTGCACTCACCTCGTGACGCTGTGCCCTGGAGCCTCAGCCCCTGCCTAAAGAGCTCAGTCCTACTCACAAAGCCACGTTTCAGCCGCAGCTGCAACTGCACGCACTGGCCGCTTCCCCGCTCAGCTGGCGCGCAGGAGGCACCCGGACGGCATGAGCGGCCAGACAGAAACGGCCCGGCACCTCCCCAAGTCTGCACCAGCCTGTAAGGACCCGCTGCGTGGCCCAGCTGCTCACCGCTCAGTGAACTAGGACCAAGGACTGAGGGCAGGGAAGGCCGCAGGGCCCCGTTTGTGTGAACAGCTCTAGCAAGTGAACGTTAAACCGGTTCCCAGATGCGCTTTTCACGTCTCTCGAATCTGCGTCTTAACGGACAGGTCTCAGCACTGTGCCGGTTAACGGGCAGCACCTTCTCCCTGACGGGAACACCCTGCAATATGGCGCTTGGATTCGTTAATACAGCTCACCAACAGCAGGCACAGGCAATGCACGGCTAAAGAATCAGACACCGAGTAATGCACATAAAATTGCACTCCTTTACAAGTGGGGCCGTTCAGGGAAAATGCACAAATGAACGGAGGCGTGCAGAGACCTGGGTTCCAGGCCCGGCTGGGCCGCTGCTGCTGTGCGGCTGGTGGGAACACGCAGCTCTCTGGGCTCCAGTCTCGTGTGGAGTGATGGGTAACGATGACCCTGGCCCTACCCTGTGTGGGTCAGAGGCTCACAGGGTCACAGAGTCCTTTTTAGGGCCATTTTTTGCTGCCCTGACTAGGATGGACAGATCTCAGCGGTCTGATTGCCTTAAGGATTATAACGAAATTCCAGCCAGTTACGGTTTTTGAAATAAATTGCTAAGCCTAAAACAGTGCTGTCAGCACATGTACTAAAATAGGAATGATACAGAGATCAGCAGGCCCCTGCGCAAGGATGACACAAAAAGTCGTGACGCGTGCCATGTTTAAAAAGAAACAAAACAGGGCTGGCCCCTGTGAGGCGTTGCCCAGCCCAACAGGCAGCTTCCCTCACCTCGGGCTCAGGCCCGGGCCGCCAGCTCCACAGAGGAGGCGGGCGACGCCCCGGCGGGCAGCCCCTTGCCAAGTCATAGCCAGAACCTGGCAGAGTGAGTCAGGGTTTAAACTCCAGCCCATCCGACTGCTGAGCCCGCATCTCCCACGGCTCACAGCCCCGCGGACAGCCCAGACGGGCCACTCACCTGGCGCGGCCACCTTCACCTCCGTGCTGCGGCTGACCGCCTGGCTCCCGCGGTAGGCGCTGCACGTGTAGGAGCCTTCGTCCTGGGCCCGCAGGTTGTGGATGAGCAGCGTGCCGTCCGGGGCCTGGTGCACGCGGCGGCCGGCGGCCGGCACTGGCAGCCCGTTCCTGGGGTGGAGAGGACACGGGAGCGTCACCCAGCGCCGCCGGTCTTCAGGCTGTGAGGCCTGGGCCACCATGGGCGGAGACCGTCCAAGGCTCATCCAGAGCCAGCCTCCCTCTCCCGGGGCAGACCGATGACCCAAGGAGGAGGGCACAGGCACCCCAGGAAGCCAGGACATTGTGAAAGCAAAGTAACGAGTGAGATAAACTCCCAGACGCAGTGTGCTCAGGGCCCTGGGTCGCAGAGGCCGACAGAACTGCCTGGCGTCTTCTCCCCTCGGCGCGGGTGCCTGGGAGCCTTCCCTGAAAGAGCTGCTGGCTGAGACCTGACCTGGCCAACCTGCCAGCAGCTGGCCAGCCCTGAGAGGCCGGGGGGCCCAGGAGCAAGAATGAGGGAAGTCCCAGCTGGCGCGAGAGACGGGCGGGCACCACTCAGCAGGCCTTGGCTCTGGCCAGGAGTCCGGGCCACCTCCCGGCCGATGGCGAGGTCTGAGCCCAGCAGGGACTGACGGGGATGCGTGTCGTCCGGGGACGCTGCCGCCTGGTGCCCATGGGGTGGAGGGCACGGGCAGTGGGATCACGGGACTCGGGTGAAGGTTGGACATGGGAGCGGAGGAGAGGAAGCTGTCTGCTTGGGTTACTGGGCTGCTGGAGAGACCCTGGGCTGGGGTGAAGTTAGGCTGCACCATTTGAAATCCGGGGTGTTCGTGAGATCCGAGGGGCATCGTATTCAAGGGCTGGAGCGCGCACATCCATCTGTGTGTCAGCCTGAGAGGCCCCTGCAAGGCTGTCTAACGTGAACCCCAGGGACGACCAAGGACAGAGTTTCCTGGAGCCAGCAGAAGGACCCTACAGGTCCTAAGGACTGAGAGGGACCCCCAGGTTAGCAGCAGGGTAGGGGTGATGTGAGTCGGACAGTGACCCGGCAGATGCCCGGACGCAGGGCGGAGCGGACAGGGTGAGCACTGAGGCGAGGGGCACCAAGCCCACGCCACCGCCTCCCGAGAGCCTGCAGCGCGGCCCCGCCCGGCGCCCCTCGCACACCAGCCTCCGCCTGCTGCTTCCCCTCCGCACCCCTCCCCCCTCAGCCTCACCCCTGCTCCCCGCCCCCCACCCCCTGGACCCAAGGAGCCTCACCCCACCCTCCATGTCTGGGCAAACCTCATCTGGAGCTCCTGGGACACACGGCCGTCTGCGCCCCGGGGCCCCAAACCCCCTGGACCTAGCCTAGTCCCGACACATTCCGGGAAGGGAGGGGCCAGAATGCCGAATGAATGAATAAATGCAGGACCGGCAGCTGGGACTGGAGGCCACCGAGGTCCCCAAAGCCAGCTGCCACCCATGGCTCTCAGCGCAGGCAGCGGAGCTTCACCTGGACCATCTGATGTTCACGCTTCCGTCTCCCACCACACAAGGCAGCCTGGCTGTGCCCCCCTCTGGCACTGTCACCGTAGGGGGCAACCCCGTGATCGTCAGCTCTCCTGGGCACAAAGAGGAAGCACTGTCAGCCTGGCACAGACCCGCCCCACCTTGCCACTTAACCTGGACGCCAGCGGCCCCACAGCACGCGCCCCTTACCCAGGACTCTGAGCTGCACCCAGCGCTGGTCTCGGTCCTGCCCGTTGAAAGCGACACAGGCATAGAAGCCACCATCCTCCGGGGCCACTCGGCTGATGACCAGAGAGCCATCTGGCTGCGTCTGGTGTCTGGGGACAAAGCACAGTTAATAACAGGCTCCAGCCTGAGAGGGGCCCGCGGGGGAGGCAGGTGGGGGGCACGGGGTGAGGCCGAGCGGCCAAGTTCTAGCAGAGCCCTGGGGCCTCGGGCCCTCCCGCGGCTTGCGCGCTACTGTAGTGAAAACGTTCGGCTTTTAAGCCTAACAATAAATTTACCAAACTTGCTAATACCTTTTTTAATTTTGTTCTTTAAATTATTATTTTTGCTTTGGGTTTCTCATATAAGGTTAAATGCAATATTTATTTTTAATAAATTATTTTTATTAAATTATTTTTGCTTTGGGTTTCTCATATAAGGTTAAATGCAATATTTATTTTTAATAAATTATTTTTATTAAATTATTTTTGCTTTGGGTTTCTCATATAAGGTTAAATGCAGTATTTAACCTCGTGTGTCAGGTTCATTTACGGACCCAAGGTGCGCCCATTTTCCTGCCGACCGGCCAAGTGTTCCTTGGCTGAACAGTGCTCCGTCGCACATGTATGTACATTTTCTCTCCCCGCGCACCTGCTGGTGGGCGTACAGCCTACTTCCGTGCTCTAGCTACCGAGAGTTGTGCTGCTGTAAACACAGGCAGGCATGTGTCCCTGCAATCTGGTGTCTGTAACTCTTTGGGGAAGATACCCAGAAGGGGAATAGCTGGGGCAAGTGGAATGTCTGTTTTTAGCTTGAGGAATCTCCAGACTAATTTCCATAATAGCTGCTCTAGTTTACACTCTCACCAACAATGTGGAAGCCTTCCTTTTCCCCAGCCACCTGGCCAGCATTTGTTGTATTTTAAATTCTTGATGACAGCCATTCCTTATGGAGTAAGATGGAATCCCAGTGTGTATCCAATTTTCTAAATCAACGTAATTCTGGTTTCCATTGGGCGTGGTGGAACAGACTTGTAATCCCACCACTATGGGAGGCTGAGGCTGGAGGATCTCAAGTTCAAGCTCCTCCTGGGCAATTTAGCAACTTACTGACACCCTGTCTCAAAAAAGGGCTAGGAGTACAGTTCAGTGTAAAGGATAAGGGTTAAATCCCCCAAACCAGAGGAGAGAATCTAGTGTGCTTCTGGTTGTCGCCCTAAAGGTTTAAATCTCAGTCCGACCACTTGCGAGGAGCTCTGCGGTGCTCAGCTCCTGTGTGTACAGCGCAGGAGGAGCACCTGCCGCATGTGTCTCCTTTGCGGATTACGGGGCGGAGGACACGCCTCACCTCAGGTGCGCTCAGGGAGGTCAGCAGTTGCGTTCAGCCAGAGCTTCCCGGCCCTTCACCCGTCAGCCAGCCTCTCAGTTCCGAGGCAGCCACGCTCAGAAAGACCCAGGGACCCGGGCGTTGCCCCCACCCCTGCCCGGGAGCCCGCCCGGCGCGGCGGTGCACCTGGGCGAGGAGAGGGGCTGCCCGTCTCTCTGCCACTCGATGACGGGGGGCGGGAAGCCGTCCGCGCGGCAGCTCAGCCGCACCCGCTGGCCCGGACTGGCGTCCACCGCCCCGGGCTGGGTCCGGTCCAGGCGCAGCCTGCGAGACAAGCCGCCCGCAGCCGTGAGGGCCCGCGGCCCCCGTTCTGCTCTACAGCCCCGTGCAGAACCACGCGCTCTGCTCACGCGCCCTCGGAGGAGCCCGCTGCCCGCTGCCCGCTGCCCGCCCCAGGCCGACGGCATGGCCACGGCCCTCCCGGCCCCCTGTAAACGGAGCCCACCCCCCGTGCCAGCTCCGACCCTTCCCTTCCCCCGCCTTGGGGCGCGGCCAGGGTGCCCCGGTTCTCCGACCCTCCGCGCAGAGCCCTGCCCGGGGTGGGAAGCCGGGCCTCGGGACCCTCCTCCACCCACCATGGGGCCCCGGGCCCGGCCGCTGAGCTGGTACCTGGTTGCAGGCCGAGGCTGTGCGGAGGGCACGGCCCCGGGGCGCCCCGCATCGCCCCCTGGAGCGGAGCCCCGAGGACCGTGGCCCTGGGCCGGGCCCCTGGCCCGCGGGAAGTAGCTCGGCTCGGCCTCGTCAGCGCCTGTCGGGAGGCCAGCGAGAGCCCGGCGTGAGCTGCGGCAGAGGGCTGGAAGGCGGGGTGGGCTGCGCAGCCAGCGGGGACCCAGGACGGAACGGGCCGCGCGGCCTCCGGAGGGCAGTGCGGGGCGCCCCGGCCGCTGTCCAGTCCCTCCAATGCGGGTCTGTGACCCCAGGCAGGGACGGGGGAACAGACCTGTGACGCGGAGCTGGATGTGCTGGGAGTCACGGCCCGGCCCGCTGGCGCCACAGCTATAGCTGCCAGCGTCCTCTGCCCGCAGGGGGCTGATGACCAGGGAGCCGTCAGGCTGCAGGTGGTGCCTGAGCGGGGAGAAGGGGGATGCACTCCGGAGCCGCCCACCGGCCCGCCGCGGGAGGGCCAGGGCCGCTGTGGGGAAGACTGCCACGCAGGCCCGCGGCGGCACCCTCAACGCAGCACGTACCTGTCAGAGGAGATGGGCTGGCCGTCTTTCTGCCACCCGGCCTGCGGGGATAGGGAGGCGGCCCTGGGGCAGAAGAGCTGCACCGACTGCCCCGGGGCTCCCTGCACCACGGTGGGCTCCGAGCCTGCCACGCTGATCCTGGAGGGGCAGGGAGGGAACCACCGCTGACCTGGGGCCGGGGCCGGGGCCTGCTCTCAGCACCTCGACACGCCGCGCGGGCCAGAGTCCCACAGGAGGCCAGGCGCCAGGAGCCAGGGCACCCTCCCAGCCGCACCCAGCCCCGTCGTCCCACCAGCAACATCAGCAAGGACCGCAAAGCCGGAGCTGGGGTGGGACTCACCCCCCTACAGCCCTGGGGCAGGAAGTTCTGGTTGCCTTTTGGGGGGGTCTGTGTCTCTCTCCGTCTCTCCGCACATGCGCACGCACAAACAACACTGAGAATTAAGCCCAGAGCCTTGCACATGCTAGGCAAGTGCTCTACCCCTGCACAACACCCCCAGACCTTTTTATTTTGAGACAAGGTCTCCCTAGGTTGCCCAGGCTAGCCTTGAACTTGGATCCTCCTGCTCAGCTTCCCGAGTAGCCCAGATTACAGGCACGCATCAGCATGCCCAGTTAGGTTTGTGTTTTTTTATTTCAGTTTTCCAGAATCTCTTATTAACATGGTCCAGTACTGAGGGGATAATGAAAAGAACCCACACCAAATCTGAGGTGTGCAGAACAGGAAGCAAAAGCACCACCTCACAGGTCAGCTGAGGCTCCGAGAAGCTGCCCATTCGCCAGCCACAAGGGCTTCCCGGCTAAGCAGGCCCCGGGGTGCGGGTGAGACCCTACAGAGAGCCGGGCCCGTCCACAGCGCTGTCTACGTGTGTCGGCTCAGCCTGCCACCTCTGGTCTCAGCCTCCCACCTGCAGCGTGAGACTCTCAAGGCCCAGCAGGCATGGGTCTGGGAACAGAGGTTGGGGCAGAGGCAGGGCCGGCGGAGCTCAGGCCTGGCCGGACGCCCTACCCCCCGCCTCACCTGTAGGAGGAGCTGGGAGAAGGTGGCATGGGCCATCTGGCATCTCTGCCCAGTCCTGGGGTCCTGGGCCCAACTTCCTGGTGTCCAGGCCGCTCTCCAAAGGCCCGGGTCGGCTGGGCCTCCCCGGGCACAGGCTGCTGCCCCCTTGGCCAGGGGCCACCAGAAGGTAAGGGCTGTCTCGGGACCGTGTCCTCTGTCCTGTGCCTGCTGGTCTCCTGCCGGCCTCTGGGACCGCTGCCACGGCCATCTGTGGGGATGCCCGGGCCAGTGGCCCCAGGCTCAGGGTGGGGGGGCCCGTGCTGGGCGCCCCGGCAGCTGTTCATGCACTCCTGCTCCGAGGCGAAGTTGTTGGCATTGCCGTGGCAGCCGCCGTACCAGAAGCGGTTACACAGGCCCACCGAGGCCACGAAGTACCAGCGGGGGGCCCAGTCTGCGCAGGAGCCATGGGCGCTGGGCAGCAGGCACCGCACTGGGTAGGCTGGGGGCAGAGGTGGGACCTGTCACCAAGGTGGCCAGTGACAGGGCAGTAGCCACCACCCTTCTACCTCAGATGCAGAAGCCACATCCTTCCGAGTTTACAGACCACGGCTGCACCTGGCCGAGGCCCCAACCTGGTTCTAGGGGTCCGTTTATCACCCAGACTTGCCCTAGAGAGCTACAGCAGCCTCCGCCCTGAGCTAGAGCTCTCCAGGGGCACAGGTCCAGGGTTCCCTGGGCAGGTGACCTCATGTCCCCACACGCTGGACCCTGGCGTACACAAACCCAGCAGCGGCGTGTGGCCTCGCTGGGCTCAGTCTATGAAAGGACCCTGGCCCTGAGCCACCCCCACCCCAGGCCTAACAGATGCCCAGTGAAGGACCCACACCTGTCCCAGGACCCTGCAGCAGCCTCTCAACCCAGCCGGCTGCCCATTCTAACAGCCCTCCCGGCCACCACGGCCTGCTGCACCTCTCCACATTCAGATGTGACCTCCGCTCCTCGCCCCGGTGCCCGACCTCGTGCAGAGCCCTGACCCAGCCTGCGCAGCTTTCGATATCCGTGATGGCCCCCGGCAGCTCCCCTCCGGCCCAGCCTTCCTTCCCGGTGGGCTCCCACTGCCCCCCACCCCCAGGCAGAGTCACGACAGGCCGGTTGCCCCTGGCACTGCCCACCCCGGCACTGTCCCTGGGGACTAAGCCACAGGATGGGCCTTCCCAAGAGTATAACCTCCGCCAACCCCACAAGCCGTCAGAAGGCCTCAAGCGCCAACAGTGCTGCTGCAAGGATAATCCAGCACTGTCCTTGGGCCTGGCACCCAGCAGGCACTCAGGCATTTGCAGAAGCTCATCCGCCCTGCAAGGAGGAGGACAGGGGCGTCCACTCACCGGAGCTGGGCTGGCCCTCGCACCCTTCTCCACGGGGGCCGGCAGCAGAGGCCACGTTGTCATAGCAACAGCCAAACTGGGAGCCCCGGCACTCAGCGGGTTCATTCTGCTGGGCCTGGGGCCTGTGGGCTTTGGGGGCCTGGAGAAGAAGCCCAAGATTGGGAAGCTGGAGTGGCTCTGGCTCCTGGAGAGCACCCCGGGCTGCTGGGAGGACGGCAGGAAGGTGCGGGAGTCCAAGGTGCACAGCCCCAGCTGGAGGAGACCGGAGGCCAGGACGCAGCCCCGGCTTCCCAACCTCACCCCAGGCCCATGGCAAGCTGTGCGCCCTCAAGGGGCGGCCCAGGCCAGTAGGCCCTTCCCCAAGGCCAAATCTGCAGGGGCCTGGGCCAGGGGCACCACGCAGACTCGGGGGCTGCAAGCTTTCCCGCCCGTCACCTCAGCCACTTACCGTGGAAGGCACCACCTTGGACCCCGGCCTCCTCCCAGCGTCGTTGCTGCCGTAAGCCCCGGTGCAGCCAGCCTGCTGGGGCCCCTCGGCGGCAGACACCCCGTCAGGGCAGCACCCGTACCTAGGCAGACAGCACACAGCCTCCCTTACTGCCCGCCTGGACCCCGAGCTCCAAGGGGCCCTCTGCGGGGCTGACCGGCAAGGCCCTGAGGGAGCGGGCCCGCGTCCACCACCACCCAGCAGCTGCCAGGGCGGGCAGTGGTAAGCAGAGGCCCTGAAAACCCCCAAACCGAGCAGGGTGGATTCATCTGAGCCCCGCAAAGGTCAGCGAGCCCACCGCTCATCTCACTCCGCCAAGTAAGGGGCGGGAGCGAGGCGGAGAAGGGGCGTCCCAGCGCCAGGCACCTGGCGATTTATTCCACCCTCGCAGCAACCCCGCGGCTATCACTGTTCACGGCTTTTGGAAGAGGACACCGAGATCAGAGAAATCAAGTAAGCTGCCTTAGTCAGCATGCAGCCGGTAAGAGACAGCTCTGCGGATCACCCTGAGCTTGAGCACCCCAGTCCCTAAGGGGGACCTGCGGGGGGCTGGCCTTGGAAGAAGAGCCTCAGGGAGAGCAGGGGTGAGGGGAGCCCCTCTGCAAGGCTGCAGTGGGTGGGATTAGAGGGAGATTGCTGGGAACCGTCCGCTCCATCCAGCTCTCCGCTGGCTTCCCTCAGCCTGCTTTGGGTCCGAGAGCCGGAACCTCCCCTTGGGCTCCGGGTTCTTCTACCAAGAAGGCAGGGCTATGGCCCTGCTTGGCACAAGAGGAAGCCAACCCCTTAAGATCCCACGGGCAGGACCACTCGGAAACAATACAAGTCTCAGCCCCTGCCCTTTCCCAGCAGAGATTCGGGGCCTCCCATCCGCGGCCCGCCTTCCCTCTCTGACCACCGCAGTGCCCACCTGCTCTGCTCACACCAGACTTGGGTCCTGGGACAGCCCTGCCCCTGCGGCCGAGGAGACGCCGTGCGGCCATCGGGGCAGCACCCGTAGGGGCTGTGTCTGCAGTCTCGGGCCCCTGAGCCAGACCTTGGGGGCTGCTGCAGAGATGGGTTTGGGCCAGGAGCTGAAGGCGGGGAGCCATGTACACCCCCAGGTCTAGTCGGGACCCAGGGCCGCTGGTCTCTGGAGTCTAGAAAGGGGAAGCAAAAGCCAGGCCAGCGGGTGCCCCTGGCTCCCGACCCGTCACCGTGTCCGCTCCAGACCCCTTCTGCCATCCTCGAGGCCCCTTCCACACCCCGACACCCTTGGCCTCCACCTCCAGAGCCGCTCCCACAGCCAGAGAGGCAGCCTGGGGGCTGGGGGGCCGCTCCTACCTGAGGCCAGGGCCTCCCGAGGGCCCGAAGGCATCCAGGGGCCCCTGGGGGGGGTGCGCGGGTCCTGCACGCTGGGGACCTCTGTGGGGAATGAGGGCAGTGGGTGGGGGCGCAGAGCCAGCATAGAGAATTCCAGCAAAGCTGGAACCCCGCTGCGCAGGCGGGTGGGTTTTGTTTGGTACTGGGATTGCGTCCAGGGAGCACCGAGCCACATCTCCAGTCCCCTTTCAGGGACAGCGTTTCACTGTGCAGCCCAGGCTGACCTCAGACCCGCGACCCTTCTGCCTCAGTCTCCCAAGCAGCTGAGACGAGCGTGCACCACTACCCAGGGCTTCAGCCACCTCAGTTTTTTTTCTTTCAGTACTGGGAGCTGAACCCAGAGCCTCCATGCTGCGCTGCTACACCCCCGACCCTTTTTAATTTTTACGTGGAGACAGAGGCTTGCTGGGTGCTAACGGTCCAGGCTGGGCATGAACTTGTGATCCTTCTGCCTCAGCCCAGCCGGCTGAGACCACACCGGGCTTCAGGCAGCCCGGATTTCCCTGCGTGGCTGCCCAGCCTGTCCTGTGCTCCGGCCATCACGCGACTCTCCGCTTGACCTGGGTGCCACCCGGGGCAGGCTCCTCAGAGGGCCGGCAGGACAACACCCCTCCTCCTGACACCTACCAGCAGGCGCTGCGGTACTTGGCACAGGCCCAGAAACCCCTACACCCTACACGGCCACCGCGCGTGGACTTGAGTGGAAGCCCAAGCAACCAAGAGACAGGGGTGTGTCCAGCTGCAGGACGGAATGACGGGGAAGAGGCAGGCGCGATCACAGAGACGGTGCAGGAGCACGCGCGAGACAGCCGAGTAACCGCTGGGACGAACCCAGCTGCCAGCCTACTGCGAGCCGCGGCCGCGGCCTTTCCTGCCCTGACCCCGCGTCACTTCCGTACCTATGCAAGCAGCAGGGCAGGCTTTCCTCTCCAATCCTGTTCCAGCCGAGCCTGCCTTCCCCTTCCCCGCCCTCCTGAGTCTCGCCGCCCTCCAGGACGGCAGCAAGGCCTGGGCAGCCTCGTGGCCCCGCTGGACACAACCCGGGAATGCAAGGACTTCGCTGCCGGCGAGGCCGCACCCGGGCGGCTCCTCAGCCCGCCTCCCGCCCTCCCACCGCGCACTCCCTGTGCGCAGGCCCGGCAGGCACACCCGTGCACCCCACGGTCCCGGGGGACAAGCGGAAGAGGGGGAGCCCTGTGCCTCGGCCACGCAGCTGGTCGGCTGCGGAGCTGACCTGAGCCTCAGCCTGCCGCTGGCTCTGAGGTACGGGTTCTTGCCCACTCTGCCACCTGCCCGCTTGGAACTCCAGCATCCCCACCTCAAGGTCCCTACAGCTCAAAGGGCCCGGCACCACGCTTCAAGGCCAAATACAACTGCAGTGTGAGCAGCTCATCGGCCCCAAGCCTGAAACTCAGCGGGAACCCACGCCCCTCCCGTGTCAGCTGCACAGCAGCCAGATGCCGCCCTCCACGCCTGGGGCCTCCGCTCCCGGCAGAGAGGGCGGTGGGCAGACTGAGGCAGCACACGAGGACAGTCGCTGGACTCTACTTCCCCTCCCCCGCAGTCACCGAGTCTTTCAACAAACCATAGCTGGGCCACCTAGGCGTCGTGCTGGGGCTGTGCTGTGGGGACGCAGGGCAGGAGTCAGGCTCTGGGCCCAGCCGCAGAAGCTCAGGAAGCCACGTTCAGCCCCGCGGCACAGGAGGAGCCCCGCAGGGCCGGGGACAAAGGGGAGACACTGCTTCGGGGTGTGGGGGAGCAGGGCTGGCTCGAAGCAGAGCAGAGAAGGCGGGCTTTGCCGCAGCAGAGGCTTCAGCAGACATCCTGGACAAGAGGCCTCAGGCCTGGCACCTCTCGGGCAAAGGCCCCAAACAGGAAGTGCCTGCTTGGTTGGCAGTGAGGGGCGGGGGAGAGGGAGGGTCCCAGCCGTCCTCACCCTGAGGAAGGTGGCAGGGCTGCGTGTTACAGAGCTCCACGTCCCTGGGCTTCGACTGCTGCAGGTTCCTACAGTGGCCGGGCGGTCCGAGGGCACAGACGACCTGTCGCCTCCGAGTGCCCGAGCTGCAGCTCTTGGAGCACTGGGGCCCGCGGGTGCGGCGGGAGAGAGAGACCTGAGGCCGGGCCCCCACAGGAAGGGGGGGGCGGCCGGGGACACGTCGTGGCACTGACAGTGGCGCGGGTACCTGCCCGCCCGAGGCGCCGGTCTGGGCAGCAGGACGGGAGGGGTGGCCAACACTCACCAGGCCCCAGGCGCTGACCCGCCAGGCCTGGTCCCCGGGGAGGGGGCAGGCTGCTCGCGCACAGGTCTCCGTGAGGGGTGGCCGGTCTTGCCCGGAGCAGGCCGAGGCGGGGAGCAGGGACCCTTCGTCACCCTGGCAAGCCACGCTCCGCCTCCGGATGCCGGCACCACACGTGACAGAACACTGCAAGAGTCCGCTGTCAGCACGCGCCCAGCCCAGCCCGGAGGAGCCACACGCCGGACAACGAGGCCCATGAGCCCAGCACGAAGCGCGGACTACACCCGACTGCCGCGCCTGCTCTCGGCCCCGAGAGGCTGTGCGACGCCCTGAGGTCACACAGCCCGGTCACGGTGGCAGACCCCCAGACCGGGGCACCGTGCCTTCCTCTGCAGCTGGAGCAGGCGCAGATGCCGGAAGCAAGGCCAGCGGCCCCAGCCCTGCGGCTGTCCATCACCACCAAACACCTCGCCCCGCGGCTGCTTCAAGCCAAAGCAAGGTTTGGGGACCCTGGAGGAGAGTGAAAGCTCGGGAGCAGGGCTCCAGGACCCAGCTCCCCTCTCATCCCAGCCTGGGCCACAGCGGCCAAGATGACCTGCAGGTCGCTTCACCTCCCCAGCCTCCGTGTCCACGCAGAGGCCTGACCCTCAGCCTGGCCCGTACCTCTAGGACCCAACACCCAGCTCCTTGTCCCGGCCCCGGCCGGCCTAGGCAGGGCCTCACCTCTCCCCAAGGCCCGGCACTCCAGGCCACGCAGCGATGCAGGTTACAAGCCTGTGTGGAAGGGGGCTTCCCGGGCAGGCCGGCACACTCGGCCTCCTCAGCGGCCTCCTGGCCTCCAGCGCCGTCAGACGAGACACAGTAGACAGGGCGGGACTGGGAGCCGCCCCCGCAGGAGGCTGAGCAGGGTGCCCACGGCCCTACCTTCCAGCTGGCGAGGAACGGGACTCAGGTCAGGCCAGCCTGGAGCAGCAGCCCTCCCTCTGAACATCCGGGCTGTGCGGGACCAGAGCGCTGAGCGAGGAGCATGGGCCGTGCTCCACGTCCTCACGGCCATGCTGGGTGGCTTACAGCTCAAACCAGCCTCGCCCGCAGCTGTCCTGTCCTCACCCCAGGCCCCTTCCCTCTCACTGGGTCCCTTTCATCAGGCCGACTCTGCCCCCACTGGGTCCAGCCTGCACGGGGACATCTCCAGGAGCGTGTGCCACCCTGCGCATGGAGGGGCTCCGCCCGGCACCAGGCGCAACGACTGGGAGGGTGGCCCCCACCACACCATGCACAGCCACGCCCACCACCGTCCACGAGGCTGCTGCCACCAAGGCCGGGTGGGCAGGTTACCTGTTCCCACACACACGCTGGGCCCCAGCATGGCGCCACGCTCCGGGCCGGTACAGGTAAGAGGTCCTTTGTGCACGAACAAAGGAGTGCCAATGCCAACAGGCCCTGGGCCAGATCCCTGGCTCCCCCCCCGGGCGTGTGCCGAGCCAGGCCCCCTGCTGGCTCAGACCGGGACTTTCATCACTGGCCCCGGCCCTCCTGCCAGCAACCTGGACGCTCTGAGGACTGCACGGGCACACAGGCCAGGGAGGGCAGCCCTCTGCTGCCTCACTCAGAGACAGCCGCCAACCCACCCGTTAGCCGTAGCTGTGGGGAGCCCTGGTACCGCAACCTCCTCACTACACCCCTAAAGCAGCCTCAAGACGCCCCTCCCCTCCCATCCCACCCCTACCGTCCCACCAGGGGCAGAAGGGGCGGGCGAGGGCCTCACCGCTTGGTCTGTGGGCAAGGCTGGGGGTTGCAGGGGCGACGGTCAGCTGGCCGAGGCTGGCGCTGGCACATGTGGGAGGGGTAGGCCTCGCTGTCACTGGCGCAGAACACCAGGCGGGACTGCTGGCCTGTGCAGGGTGGGACCAGAGAAAGCAGCTGTGAGCCGGCCCTCTGCGCATGCACGTTCTCGGCCGGGCACCGTTCTGCGCCCGGTCCAGCACCACCCCGGGTACGTCCCAGACAGCCCTCCGAGGGAGGTGCCGTTCACAGACAGGACGCCGGGCCTCGGAGCCTTTCCACGGTGGGCAGCGGAGGCCTGTACGACCCGGCATCAGCTCCAGGCCGGCCTCCACTCCCAGAGGGCTGCTAGCTGCTGGGACACCCTCCGCTTAGCTCAGGGGGGGCCCTCCATGGTGCCCCCCGCCCGTCTCCTCTAAGGGGACACCATGACGTGGATATTTCTCACCTCCTTGCGTAGCACAGCCTTGAGGGGAGGCTGTGCCTTCCCTGAGCCCGATCGAGCCCTCCCTCCCCGCACCGGGCCTCACCCCCGCCACACTCCGCGCTGCAGTCGCCCCACGAGGTGTAGCTCCAGCCGAAGGCGGGGCTGGGCCCGGGGCTGCGCAGGGGCAGGTAGTACTCGTAGCGCACGCCGGGGTTGGCCTCCTGGCTGATGAGCTGTGTGCGGCAGGGCAGCTTTACCCACAGCCCCGGCCAGCCTCGGCTCCCAGCCACCTATGCGCAGGGCTTGGTGACCTCTCGGGGGCCCCCCGCTTCCCACCGCGCTCTCACCTCGATAATCAGGGGCTCTGAGGTGGGGCCCCGGGCCTGGAGCCGCTCAGGGGCCAGGTCACCCTCGGCACCCCGTTCGTAGTGCAGGACGGTGCTGGCCACCGGCAGGGCCTTGGCCTCGGCGATGGTCCAGTGCCCGTTGAGGTAATACTCCCCACGCACGCTCCTCACGGCTGCGCAGGGACAGGGGCGGAGTTGGGGGAGGGTGCGCCTCAGGCAGCCCAAACTCAGCCCGCAGCCGGACCGCAGCCTCACCCAGGAAGTTCCTGCTGGCCGCAGCCTCCTCAATGCGGATGCTGGTGGCCCCAGGGGGAATGATGAAGATCCGGTTGTAGCCTGATGAGGGCAGAGAGTCAGGCTGGGGGCAGGTGACCAGGCCGCCCTCACCCGGCACCCCTCAAGCCCCTGGAAGGAGCCGTCCCTGAGATGAGCCGTCCCAGGGCCCCACAGCACAGAAGAGGGATGGGCGAGGCTGCCTGGGGCCCAGTGCTCCCCACAGACCAGCAGCTCCACGAAGGCCAGAAGCCTCAGGGCACCCAGCGCAGGCTGGGAGCAAGCAGGGTCAGGTGGAGGACCGGGAGGAGGTGGGGTGGCAGGGGATTGGACCAGGGTCCTGACTGACAGAGGCCTCCACCCTGTGGCCCAGCCCCAGCCCCATCCAGGTGCCACAAGTGCGCTCAGCCCTGAGCCGTGGTCAGAGGAGGAGCCGGCCAGCCCGAGGCCGCACGGGACCCCCACCTCGACTGAGGTCGTTGGCACTGAAGGTGCCTGTGACCGGGTAGCAGGTTGTGCCGTCTCCCCCACACTGCAGACACTTGTCTTCCTGCTTGGACGAGTCTAGCTCCTGGTCACAGCCGACAACCTGCGGGCAGGAGGCCAGGCGAGTGCCGCAGGCTGAGACAAGGGCCCAGCAGGACTGGGGCTCCGGTCAGCTTGTCCTTCGCAGCACCCCCGGCTCAGGCAGGACAGGGTGCAGGGTGGAGGGTGACTCAGTGGAGGCCCGAGGACGGTCTGCTCAGGTCCTGCCCTCCTGCGGCATCCTCACCCTCCGCCCTCCCCCGCAGGGCCCAGCTCCCCTCAGAGCTTGGAGGACGCCCCGGGTGGGCCTGGGACAATCGCAGGGGTTCTACTGCCCTTCCTCAGAGTGGACAGGTGAGGCCAGGGCAGGTGGGCGGTGGCGCCACGCTGCGGGGCTCCTGCGAGCCTGTGCCCTGGGCCCTGCCCGCCGCTACAGCAGAGGCCTGGAGCTGCTGTCTCGTCACACCTCCCGAAGCACTCCCCGACCCTCGGGCGGACCAGGAGGGCGTAAAGCAAGAGCCGGGGAGAGGTTTCCAGCAGCAGCACCCAAGCACCCGTGGCCACCCTTCTTCACATCCCGGTTCCGCTGCGGTCAGTTTCAGTTAGGTGCTGACAAGGTGCCACCCCAGCTTTCTTTCATGAGGTTGGGGCCCTCAGAGGGCAGCCGTCCGGGCTGCAGAGCATCCCAGGAGCTAGGCCAGGCACCCCTGCACCCCGAGGTGGCCCAGCCCAGAGTGGGGAGGGAGCTCACTCACCCGGCAGCGGCCATCCACGCAGACGTCCCGTCCTCCAGGCTCGCAGGGCGTCCCGTCCAGCACCGCCTCCCGGTGCTTGTAGTAGAAGTTCTCCCCCTTGGGGATGCAGTTCAGCTCACACTTGTTTGGGGCTGGTGGGCAAGAGGGGGACTGAGGCCAGGCCCGAGGCCTAGCGTAGCAGCAGGGGTGCAGGGGCCAGCAGCACAGTCGTGACTGGGAGAAAACACCCTTGCAGCAGCCGCCCCCACCAGATGGCGCGGAAGCCCAGCCCCGTCCCGGGGGCGGGGGAACAGTGACCACAAGAGGGCTGGGTCTCTGGGGACCACATCAAAGAAAGCCCAGAGTAGGGGACTGATGTACACCCAAAGAGGCCTGGCCTAGCATTACGCACAATAGTGCAGGTGTTAACAGGCTACCCTGAGCTGTCAGCGGGGTCCCACGCGTGCGGACCACGCAGTTGGTGAAGTCTACCTTTGGGTGGGAGATGCTCAGCGGAATGCAAAGTGGTGAGAACTCTGCAGTAATCGCAGGTATTTGAACACAGGGAACATGGGAGGGCTAGGATGAAACGCTGACAGCACCCCGTAAGAAGGGCGGGTTAGGGTGACTCTTTCTCACATTTTTCTTATTTTCTTTATTTATTGTGCTGGGGACCGAACCCCAGGCCTCCACACTGAGCTACATCCCTAGCCCTTTTTTACTTTTTGAGACAGATCTTGCTAAGTCACTGAGTCGCATAGGCTGGGTTTAAACTTGCAATCCTTCCTCCTCATCGTCCCACAATGCTGGGATTGCAGGCATGTGCCAACACACCAGGCTTTTTTTGTCGTAATCAATATACCAGCATCAGGGACACACTTTAAATAGCCCAAGGCTGCCCCATGCAGTGGAGAATGCCTGTAATTCCAGCACTAGGGAGGCCGAAGCGGGAGGACTGCGAGGCCGGCCTGGGTTACACAGGGAGTGCAAAGCCAGCCTGAACCACACAGCGAGAGCCTGTCTCAAAACACTCCCGCCCCGAGAGTGCCAGCAGGCACATAACCCCTCGAGCAAGGCGGGCACAGCTCAGCCGCTCTTTCAACCCTCTTCTTGTGTTCCAACTTCTCTAGATTGGGATTTATATAAGTTACTTTTAACACTAGGATTCAGTACTAGGAGAAGTACTGAATACCAAGGGGCCCACTGGGACAACCCACACTGGCAAAGGAACACACACACACACACACACACACACACACACACACGCTCATCGGTTAGGGATCCGGAGCCCCCGAGTTGCCAGGAGGCGCTCGCGGAGCAGCCCATTCACGACCCATTCACGACCCACAGTCCGCGCTTTTCCCTAACGCTCCTGACCCCCTCCCTCGGCCGCTCGGGACCGCGGGCCCGCAGCTGGGCGCCTGGGCCTTCGCCAGGCCAGGCCACACCCAGGCCCCCTCCTGCCGTCTGCCCCACAGGACGCCCGGCCTCCCCCGGCGCCCTCCCGGCCTCCCCCGGCGCCCTCCCGGGACCTGTGCGAGGACCTCCGGGCGCAGGCGGAACCAAACCCGGGCTCCAAATGGCACAGCCCGCCAGAGGTCTGAGAAAACGCGCCCGCGGGGCGAGGCCTCTGCCGAAGTCGAGCAGCAGGGGCCCCGGCGACCAGGGCCGGGCGCGGGGCGGCCGCTCACCGCCGTAGTAGGGCAGCCACCGGTACCGCCGGCCGTGGAACGAGGCGCCGTCCAGCTCCGCGCACTGCTCGGCCCTGAAGTCCCGCGCGCCGTCGGGGCAGCTCTGCGCGCACGGAGGGAAAGGGGGTCCCCGGCAAGGTCAGGGTCCCGCGCGCCCGCTTCCCAGCCCGACCCGGGGCTCTAACCCACACCCCAGCCGCCAGGGCCAGGGCGGCCCGGGTGCGCAGGGGCGCGGCGCAGCCTCACCTCGGTGCGGCAGGTGCGGTAGCTCCGGGCGGGGCCCACGCAGCTGGCGCCTCCATCCCTCCTGCGGGGCGAGCGCACAGGGAAGACAGCGGGAAGACCCGCGCCCCGGCCCCCCACGGGCCCCCCGCTTCCTGGGCAAGGCTGGGCCGGAGGCGCGGCCGGGGGAAACGGGGCGCGCTCACGTGCCTCCCTGGGTGGGTGTTGGCGTCCCGGGGTCTGAGCGGGAGAAGCCGGCCTAACTCAGGGCCACTCTGCCTCGGAAGCGAGTCGCCAAGAAGCCCCCGCTGCCGCCCGCGGGCCGAGGGGTAACAGCCAGCCGGCGGCGTGAGCGGCCAGCCCCTTGGAGTCGGCGCTCCCCTCTTCAGCGTCCTCTCCGGAGCAGCGAGCTCACAGAGCCGCCCAGCGCCCTTCTCTCGCACCCCGCCCCCGCGGACCCTCTCGGGGTGCAGAGCAGGCAGTGCACACTTGTCACTCAAGCGGGGACATCTGCACTTCGCAAGGCGGCCCAGGGCGAAGCAGCCGCACGAGTCGGGAATTGCTGGTTGGCGATCACGCACTCCGCGGCGCCTGCCTTGTGCTGGGACCGCCGGGAACCAGATTCAGGGGTGGAAAGCCGGTGCTCCAGCTCCTCCCAGTCAAGGCGGACCCGGGTGTCTAACTAACCCGGGTCTCTAACTAACCCGGGTCTCTAACTCTGAATGACGGTGAACTGTGACAAGTGAGCTGCTTTCCTACGCCCTACTGATGCCGCTTCCAGAATGTGTCACGCGGTGACCAACGGCACCTAGCCCTGGCCCGGCGGCCAGCCTGCCTTGCACCCTGCCTTTTTAACCCTGGCCCCTTCTCGTCCACCCTACCTCTGTGAGTAGCAAGGCCGCTCCCGGAAGCTGATGCCCCCTCCGCAGGTCCGGCTGCAGGAGCTCCACTCGCCCCAGGGGCCCCAGGTGTCACTCTGCTGCCTCGCCTCGGGCGCCTGCAGAAGATGCCTCAGGGTTTGAGCCCGGAGACCCCACCAGGGCCCTTGGCCTACAAACTCCTCTTCCCCAGTTCAAGGGCCTGAGAGTCTCCCAGGCACCCCAGACGTTCATTCACAAAATTAGCCAGGTTTCATCACACAGAGCTGAGGGCAGGGCTGGGCAGTCAGAGAGACAGGAGGTGACAGGAGCCCCTGGGGGAGCCCCGGCACCTGGTCAATGCTAATGTAGGGGTGGAGGCCCTGAGCGGGGAGCAGAGGTCAGGCGCACAGCTGCGTCACCTAACCCTGCTCAGCGGTGCTTGTTGCACCCTGCAAAGCAGCCACCGCCAGCGGAGCCTCTCGGGCTCCTGGGCCTGCACGCGTGACAGGGAAGCCCAACTGCGCGGCGTCTGGCCCGAGCGCCGCAAGGTCTGCGAACATCTGCAAGCAGCATCAGTAGAGTACATCATTGTGATAAAAATAGATATAGTGATACTTACTTCACTACAGTAAAAGACACATCGCCACGAATCACCCTCAAAATATTCTCCCTCACTGTGAACGTCCTCCTGCTTCGGCACCCGCCGCAAGAGGCTTCGTCAGGCCAGCACCGCAGGGCCCTGGACAGCGCCACCTCTCGGGCACACTTGGTTTTAATTACCCAAACCAGGGCGCGGTGTGAAGCCAGGGGCTGCTGCAGCCCTGCCCGGCGGCTTGTCCCGGCCTGTCCCTGCCTGTCCTCACCTGCTCCTTCTCCAGCTCCCGCCTGCAGCAGCCCAGATGTTCCCCCTTCTGTTCCCACTGTTCCCAGGGGACTCTGCTGCCCGCTGCCCACTGCCCACTGCGCTGTCGGAGGGAGTGCAGGCTGAGGCGGGCCTCGCGCACAGCGCCTTCTCCCCGGGTGAACGGCCCACTGCTTCTGGGCAGCACCCGGTGAGCCCTGGACGCGTTCAGGAATCCCTCAGCGGCCCGGGCTAAACCAGAAAGGAGCGGGCTGAGCTGCGGCCTGGGCCACACCCCTTCTACCGCAGTGGGGGAGAGCGCGGCCCCGCCCAGCACTGCCCACCCCGCCTGCGACCCACACTGGAGGGGAGGAGGAGGCAGGAGAGGGCTGCGTGGGTCTTGGCTGGACCTAAGGGAGAAGGGACCCAGTAGAGCCCAGGGTGCTTTTCTGAAGCGGGCAGTACCGAGGAGTGAACCCAGGGCCTCTGCACTGGGCTACACCCCCAGCCATTTTTATTTTTGGAGGTGAAGTCTATCAAAGTTGCCCAGGCTGGGCTCGAATTTGCGATCCCGCTGCCTCAGCCTCCCAGTGTGCTGGGATTCTAGGTTGATGCCATCACGCCTGGCTGGCTCAGGGCACTTTGCAAGCCTTGGTTGATTTTATCTGTGCAACAGCATTTGAGCAGACACTGAGACTCACTCCCATGTTAGAGGACTCGACAGCGTGGGGAATGCTGCTGTCCTGGGGGCCCTGGATTTCATCCTGGGGTCTTGATGCTGTCACCATGGCCCCACCACATGCACTTTGGCCTACAAGCAACTGGGGCACCAGCACATAGGGACGGAGCTCAGAGGGCGGCACCCAGGGAGGAGGCCACAGGGGCAGAGGAGCAGAGCTCGAGGTCACGGAGTGGACACGGCGGAGGGTGGCTGTCGCCCACCTGCCACTCTGACCGTGGCCTGCACTGGGTCCACGGGCTCGTGGAGGACGGCCCGTGCCCACCGCTGCCGCCCACCCCTGCCTGCCCTCCTCCCCTCCACCTGCACTTCCACAGTAGTGGCACTGTTCCTCGCCCTGCCCAGGGTGGCACACCGCTGTGACCCTTCCTCTTCTGCGGGGGCCTGCCTCAAAGAGGGAGGGCAGGCTGTGCTTTCCCTGCCCTGGGGAGGGCGCTCCGGGGGCAGCCCACGGCCCGGCTGCTCTGTGCCCTCCTTTTGCTCACAGCAAGCCCAGGCAGCACCCTCTCCTGCCCACAGGTGGGTCCTGCAGCTTAGAACACTTGCTGCACGGCCTTAGGACCCTGCTGTGTCCTCGGGGAGTCCTGCCCTGTAGACCCCTGCTAGTCACCCAGCTACTCTGATTACCAATTGGTTTCTGAGCCCCTAGATTTGTACTAATGTCACAGCTAGTAAGCACACGAGGCTATTTAAGTTAATAAAAACCAAATCAAATTTTAAAATTCCTCAGCTGCACTGACCACATTTTCAGTGTCTGACAGCCACAGTGGACCTCACGGCTGCCTAGGGGAGCAGGGTACAAATGATGTAGCTTCCGTCATCTCAGAAGGGGGCTGCTGGACAGTCCCGCCTGGTTGCAATCCCCAAGGAGAAAGCAGGTGACAGGAACCCCAACCCTGCAGGCCCAGAAAACCCAGTGGCCGGCAGCCACACCTGGTCCTGGCAGGTGTCTGCTGGGATGGACCTTGGCTGATCCCAGCACTGCCTGCGAGCCCCTCACTCCTTGGAGGACCACCATGGGCAGCGGCTTCTCCAGCATCAGCCAAGGCCCAGCACAGAGGTACCCAGCACCCTCAGAAGGGGCCCATTCCTGTAGTGGGGCAGGCAGTTCCGGGCACCCGGCCAGAAGGCTCCAAGGTCCCATGGCTTCTGAAGGACGTGGGCACTGAGGCTGGTCTCCTACCCACCGCCCCTCCTTTGCCCAACCCTGCGCTCCCACAGACTGGGGCACCGGGCCCCACGCTGCCTCCCTTGCAGGGACCTGGCCGCACTTACCGAGGACCCGGGCCCGGAGGCCAGCAGAAGGGGCACAAGCAGGATCAGCCGCATCTCCGCCTGCACCTGTGGGAGAAATCTCGACTTGGATCCATGCCGGCAGGCAGGTCACACCCCAGGCCCCACACACCCCAGGGCCACGGCAGCAGCCTCGAGCGCAGGTGCCAGGTGTGTGGGCTCGTCTTCCCTCTCGGGGTCCACGGGTGACCGGGAGACCCGCCCTGGGGGCTCTGGGGCCTCAGGCAAGCACCGCACGACCGGGCCACTCACACGAGGGGGAAAGCAAGCGCCCATCCACGACTAGCAGGAACCACTTGTTTCCAGGTTTCAGAGAAAGAGAAAGAGACAGGGCAGTTACAAATTGTCGAAAAACACGGAGTTCAGGACCAAAGTGGGCAGACACTTAAATTTAGCAAGGGATTCCGTTTATAAAAGTCATTTCAGTTGTTGTTAAACACCTGATCCCCTAAAAAAAAAAAAAAAAAAGATTTGTAAAGTAGTTTTATCACTGAAACAGATTTTTAAAAATGAAAGTCCTGGAAAATACGTTTTTGTTGATTTGAGGGTCTCACTATGCAGTTCAGGCTGGTCTTGAGCTCACTAGATAGCGCAGGTTGTCCTCAGACTCACAGCGATCCTCCTCCCTCAGCCTGCAGACTGCTGGAATGACAGGCGTGTGCCACCACGCCCTGCTGAAACTAATTTTAAATTCAACTTTTAAAAAAATGTGGACTGTGAGTGTGGCCCAGGGGTAGTGGTGTAGGTGCTTAGCATGTGCGACCCGCAGCGCGCACGCATCCCAGCGACTCCGGAGGCCCAAGCAAGAGGAACACGAGTTCGAAGCGAGCCCAGGCCACTTAGCAAGACTCTCCAACAGTTTTTTAAAGGCTGGAGATTAACTCAGCGGTGGAGCGCCGCTGGCTCCAATGCGCAGTGTGTTAAAGCTAAGAAGTACCCGCGCCCGGCCT